AAGTGAGCCACGTGCCCAGCTAAGTGTTCAGTTTTTGGAACCAAACCATCTGCACTTAGGTCATGGCTCTGCCATATTGTAACTGTGACCTCTACATAGTCATCATTCTTTGCCTTACTTTGCTCACCTGCAAAGTTGTGATGTTAGCATCAACCTGGTCAGGTTCTCATGCAAATTAAAACACTCAGCACAATGCCTACTGTAAAGTACCTACAGTAAAGAATAGCTGTTTCATTATTTAATACAAATAAAAATAGCAAGTCATTATAGATTTAAGTTAATTTTAATGTACAGTTTCTTTCTAGCATGGTTTAATCTTCATTTTGTTGTAATTCTAGAAGAAGATCACACATAAAGCAATAATAAATTTGATTTAAAATTTTTAAAAATTTACATCTTTATTGCTTTTTTCCCCTGATTTCAAAAGTGATAGCAATCAGTATCTTTGGAACTGAGGCAGAGCTCCTGAGAAAGGAACAAATCTGGAAGAAAACCACCCCTACCTGCCACCAAGTTCCCAACTTTGTTAGAGAAGGCAAGGCCATGGCATGCTCAATGGTAGAGAAGTTCAGTGAGTTGCCATGCTGGTGGAACTCACTGGGAAGCTGCATGTGCAGGTGGTACAGCTTAAATTCACTGGGAACAAGGGCCAGGACTAGCACGATGTCTAAAACTAGAACTAGACAAATGCCAAGGACACAAAATTTAAGGCATCACTCTCAAATTTTGTGCCCTTGGCTTGTCTCTCTAGCCTCACCATAGTCTCATCCTGGCCATAGGGTATAGGGTGCTGGGGTAGGGGGAGGAGTTGTCACTATTAATCCTATGTCACAGGAACAAACCTTGAGAAAGCATATTGAAATCTGAAAGATTTGCATTTCCCTTTTGATTAGAGATGTTGAGCATTTCTTCATATGTTTGTTGGCCATTCTTCTGTCTTCTTTAGAAAAATTTCTGTTCAGAGTCCTGGGTTGCCCCACTTTTTAAATGCGAGTGGTTATTTGATGTTTTTCTTCCTAAATTTTCGTGAGTTCTAAGTATATTCTAGTTATCAGTCCTTATCGGATGCATAGGAATGCAAAGATATTTTCCTCCATTCTGTAGGTTGTGCTGTCTACTTTGCATGACGAGTTTCTTTGGCTTGCAGAAGCTTTGTAGGTTTGATCATGGTCCCATTTATTTATTTTTTGTTGGCTGGCTGGCTGACTTGCCTGGTTGGCGGACGTTCGTTCGAGTAAGAGCTCTCGGTTGCCCAGGCCAATGTGCTGAGGAGAGTGTTTCAAAACTCTTGTTCTCTGAGAGCTGTCTTAATCAGTTCTCAGGTCGATCTTTAGGTTGTCAAGTGGGCGTGCTGTATGCCAGAGCGTGATTGTTGGTTTTCTTGTGGAGGAGGTCGAAGGTGTGGCGTCCTGTTTTTAGCTTCTGACAGTGGCTATCAGTTTTCCAAGCACCAGGTTTTAGTTGAAGAGGGATCTATTCCCCACAACACCCCCCAGCCGCGTATGTTTTTTGCGTCTGGTTTGTCGAGAAGATTAGATAGGCCGTATATGAGGATGCGTTTATATCAGGATTCTCCACGGGCGCTTGTTCCACCTGGTCTGACACATTCCTAGTTTTGTGGCCAATGACCATATTGGTTGTTACATTACTGAGCAGGCGTTTGTAGGAGCTTATGAGTTTGATATCTGGGCATATTTATATGCCTCCCGCAGTTTTGTTTTTCGGTTGCCCAGAATTGCCTCTTCTGGATACTTCAGGGTCGCTTCTTTGGGTCCATAACGGAAGGCCGTAAAGAGGTTATGTTGTGTTTGCTCGCGATGTCGAGAATGCCGCGGTTTTATCAAAAAGATCTGCCAACAGCATCATAACAGTGCGGCGGATGGGTTGCGGAGAGAGAGGAACACACTGGGTACCACTGCGTGTTGGTGGGAACTTGCCAAACTAGTGGCAACCTTCTGTGGAAAGCAAAGGTTCATGGACTGATGAGCCTAAGCGTGATACAAGTTGAACTCTACCATGTGGGTGCCAAATTGCCCAGTTGCTGGTGTTCAGTTCTACGGCCAGAGATGTTCGCAAGGACCGCACTGCTACAATAAAGACAGCGCTGGCACGTCGTTAATGTTGTTGAATAGCAGAACAATCATAATGTTGCATCTCGACAAGGCCTGTGGGAAACAGGCCAACGGGCGCCATCGATCCGGGGATTAACTAAGAATCGTGGTATGCATGGGGTGTACCATGTGACGTAACCTATGTCAGCTCTAAGACAGGAACAATCGTGGCTGGATATAGCCAGCATCTTATTTTTCGCGCTGGTTAGAGCTGTGGCAAGCCCATAGCGTACGTAGTGAAGTTATCCCAAAATGAAAAAACAGCACGCCAGATAGTATTCTCTCCAGCGGAAACTGGCGTGCGTCATTAACTTGAGTAGCACCGTGTAAGTGGACACATAGCGGCATCTACAGGTTAACGTGAGTGTAGTTGGGCAAGGTGGAGGGGGGAGGGGTGCGGTATTGATACCCCGCCCCCCCCCCTCCGGCCCCCGGCCCCCTCCCCCTGTAGCATGAAGATTGAGTGAGGATGCTGCGACGGCATGGCCGGTGATGGGCATGGTCATGATGGAGACTCGAGACTTTTGGGGGGTGGGAATGGGCATTTATTGAAACCTTAAATCTGCTACCCCGCAGTAATATGCCCGGAAATATAAAAAACAAAAAGGAAAAAAAAAAAAAAGAAATCTGAAAGAAAAGCCTTCTTCCTCCAGAAACCCTACAGTGCCCTCTACTGACAAGCTTAACATCGTGCCAGCTGGCAAAAGAGGAAATATTCCAGTACCAGAAGTAGGGCAGTTAAGGGTAATTGGGAGCTGAAAGGCAAATTGATAAGTGCTTCAGCCATCATAATGTAACAGGTTTTTCTAACTGTCTTGTTGAACTCTGGACTCAAAATATTAATAGGAACAAAAAAAGTACTCATTAAAATCTCATAGCTTTCTGTAATGACAGGAATGACAATATGAAAATTACTATTAGAAAAAGGATCTTTTTTGTGATTGACAGCAAAATGTACAAAATACCTAATAATAAATTTAACAAGAAATGTGCAGTACATATGGGAGGAAAAGCTCAAAACTTTACTCAGCTATTTTAGTGGCAAAAGAAGACTTGAATAAGTGGAAAGATACGCCATGTTCCTAAATGATACAGTGCTGTAAAGATATTGATTCTTGAAAAATTAATTCCAATTATGAGAAGGAAATTAGAGCTCAGCCATAGAAAACTGGTTTATCAATACCACAGTTAATGAATGGAAGAATACAGTTGGCTAAAAAAAATGGAAAAGGTTTCTCACTAGTAATCAAACTCATATAAGGCAAGAGTATTTTTTCACGTACTTAGTGATAAAGATTAGAAATAATGATAATATTCAGAGTTGTCAATGATGTAGAAAAAGTGACACCCTTATGTTCCTGGGAATATAAATGATTGGATTCATTCTGGAGGGAATTTTTGCAGTATAAGTAAAAATCCTTAAGAGTTTGCTTTACTCTTTCACTTAGCATTTCACCTTCTAGAAATTTGTATCTGAAGAAAATAATCATAAATAGGTGTAAAAAATGTATCTATGGTTCTATTGTACTGTTATTTATCATAGTGTAACATTAGAAGTAACTGAAATGATGAGTGCAAAGTTGGTTGTATCAAGTATGGCACATTAAAAAGAAATGCAATAAAAAGATATTAAAAACATGCAGTAATAGTCACAGTATATAGTATTAATGTAGGCTACAAAGTTGTACATAGAATATGAAATATAGTTGCTGGAAGATTGACTCAGTATATCTTCTAGGCACTTACTACAAAATTGTGAATTACCACATGTGATAGTATTTTGAGTTGCTTAAAAATAGTTGAAACTGGCTGGGTGCAGTGGCTCAACGCCTGTAATCCTAGCACTCTGGGAGGCCGAGGCAGGCGGATTGCTCGAGGTCAGGAGTTCAAAACCAGCCTGAGCAAGAGTGAGACCCCATCTCTACTATAAATAGAAAGAAATTAATTGGCTAACTAATATATATATAGAAAAAATGAGCCGGGCATGGTGGCACATGCCTGTAGTCCCAGTTACTCAGGAGGCTGAGGCAGCAGAATTGCTTGAGCCCAGGAGTTTGAGGTTGCTGTGAGCTAGGCTGACACCATGGCACTCACTCTAGCCTGGGCAACAAAGTGAGACGCTGTCTCAAAAAATAAATAAATAAATAAATAAAAAATAGTTGAAACTAACAATATTAACTTTTAAAATACATACATATATATATAGTATATAAAAGAAAGACTAGAAAGAATATTTGTGGTTATTACTCAGTGGTGGGCCTATGGGTGATTTTTATTTTCTTATTTGTACTTTCTAGAATTTCTAGAATGTTCTCAAATTTCTGCAGTGAGCGTGTTTTTTTTTTTAAATAATTAGAAAAAGTATTTAAATAGATCAGAAACATAATGAAAAAGCAACATCAGCAATGTCACATTCCACAGATTAAGATATGTCCATTGGTACTCACTGGGGACTCTAACACAAACAATTTGAATAGGGCAGGGCTGAAAATAAAGAAGCCAGATTGCAGTGTACTGTAGTAAGTAAATGAGTTGAGAAAGTGATTCCACTTTAAATCAGCAATGTCCTATAGAAATAAAATGCAATCCACATATTAATAATTCATTCTGCCCTACATATCCAAAGTATTTTTCAGTATGGATTAATATAAAATCATTAATAAAATATTTTACATTCTTTGTAACATCAGGCTAGTCATACTTAAAATACTCAGTAGCCACATATGGTTAGTGGCTAACATATTGCACAGGTAAAGTCTCTTGACTGTCCTGTTTGTTGAGAAAGTGCTGGTAAAGAGGGCATGGCTAGAGGGAACGTATAAGAATCCTATAGTCCTTTGCTCTTAAACTGACATTTTTTCCTTTTTTTCTTTCTCCTGCCTACTACAGGTTTTGGTAAAACTAGTCTGAGCCGTAGAGGAAGAGTAATGCCTGGAAAGAGACGTCCTTATGGAGTTATCACGGGTCTTGCAGCTAGGAAAGCAACTGGAATTCGAAAAGGAATTAGTCCTATGAATCGTCCACCTCTAAGTGACAAGGTAGGTAGTGTGATGGCTTAATCCTGGATCAGATAGTCTTTTCCTTTATTTGTACTAACATTTCTGTGAATGAACTTGAGAGAGCATATTATTTTATTTTTTTTATGTACTTTGGGGCTGATACAAAAAATTTAAAATCTAAATAAAAATCATTGTTATTCATGAAGAATACCAAAATATAAAAATTTTTTATGGCTTTCTGGCTTTCTCATGTGTGTCTATATGTGTGTGTCTATGTATACTTTTTAACAGCTTTATTGAGGTATAATTTTCATACCATAAAATTCTCTTGCTTTACACAATTCAGTGAACATTTACAGACTTGTACAGTCTCCACAACAATCTACTTCTAAAACATTTCTATCATCCTAAAAGAAATCTCATGCCCATTTGCAGCCATGCCCCATCCTCTGATCAAGGTAACCACTAATCTACTTTTTGTAGATTTTCTATAGATTTGCCTTTTTTTTACACATTTTATGTAATGAATCATACAGTAATAATATGTGGTCTGCCATTTAACCATATTTTTGAGGTTCATTCATGTTGTAGCATGTATTGGTATTTCATTCTTTTTTATTGCTGAGTCATGTTATATAGATACACCACATTTTGTTTATCCATTCACCAATTGGTGTAAATTTTGCTTATTTCCATTTTGGAGGGTATCATGAATAATGTTGCTATGGACATTCACATATAATTCTGTGTGGACATAGATTTTCATTTCTCTTGGATAGCTACCTATGCCTTACTTGAAATTTTTTTTTTTTATATTTTTAATTATAGTTATTTACCACCATAAGTTTACTACTTTTCAACCCTTAACTGAACTTTACATTAAAATGTGTAGTTTTTGGCTAAAGCATTTCACTAATGGTTTTTCTTCTATTGCTTTACATATAGTAGGTCTGAGCCATCAAGGAATTTAATATTCTACTCATCTATTTTTAATCCCTTTGGTTTCTTTGACTTATGAGAGTAAGTCATACTGGTAAAAAATTTAGGGTGTTCATTTCTTTATTATCTTAAACTTGGATATTCTGGTTGGAACAACAACGGCCTTAGAATCTGCAACTGTTCAATTCTGCCACCACCAATATTTTCCTTTCCTTCTAAAATTCTATCACAGAAGTTACTGTTTAGGCCAGGCACAGTGGCTTGTGCCTGTAATACTAGCACTCTGGAAAGCCGAAGTCGGACGATACCTTAAGCTCAGGAGTCAAGACCAGTCGGAGCAAGAGCCAGACCCCATCTATACTAAAAATAGAAAAAATTAGCTGGGTGTGGTGGTGTGCACCTGTATTCCCAGCTACTTGGGAGGCTAAGGCAGGAGGATGGATTGAGCCCAGGAGTTTGAGGTTGCTGTGAGCTAGGCTGATGCCAATGGACTTGAGCCCAGGTGACAGAGTGAGACTCTATCTCCAAAAAAAGAAAAGAAGTTACTATTTATCCAAGGGTTAGAAAACATCAGTGAGATGTGGATGCTGGAAATGAAATTGGGTTTAACTGCTAACTAATGACTTGCACCTGTAAAAATTATAAATTATCACACGTGGTAGTCTTTTGAGTTGCTTTAAAATAGTTAAAATTGAAAATGTTCAATTATAGAGTGCTAAGAATGTACTGAATAGTAAGGTCTCATTTATTCAAACTCTGTAAGTTTGATGGTTTTGGCAAAAGTATGTTTTGAAATTTGCTGTTTCTTAAAAACTTTCTTCAACCTGAATACGGATTAATAGTCTGAGTAGGATAGAATGTAGTACTTGTGAAGCTGATTATTTTCCAGCAATTTAGAAAATTTCTATTTAAATATAAGTAGTTCATACCATTCACTGCGCCCGGCCCATTCTTTTCTACTTGTTAAAGCAAGTTACCTAAATAACTTAAATTGGCTTTGAATTGCTGTATATGCTTAGAAAAATTTCACTTAAACAAAAACTTCTGAGCATAGTACACAGCATACAGAGTATAGATTTTACATTATTTTATCTCTTCCTTTCCATAATTCATATGAATTAGTGAGTTTTGTTTTCTGGGGGTTTTTTTGTTTTTTTTTTTTTTGAGACAGAGTCTCACTCTTTTGCCCGGGCTAGAGTGCCGTGGCATCAGCCTAGCTCACAGCAACCTCAAACTCCTGGGCTCAAGTGATCCTCCTGCCTCAGCCTTCCAGGTAGCTGGGACTACAGGCATGTGCCACCATGCCCGGCTAATTTTTCTATTTTTAGTTGTTTGGCTAATCTTCTTTCTATTTATGGTAGAGATGGGGTCTCGCTCTTGCTCAGGCTGGTCTAGAACTCCTGAGCTCCAGCAATCTTCCCGCCTTGGCCTCTCAGAGTTCTAAGATTACAAGCGTGAGCCACCGTGCCCGGCCTACTGAGGTTTTTATTTCAATAAAAATGTACAAAATTTTCTTGTCTATGAAGTGAATGACTACATGGAAAAAGATAGCAAATTAATTTATACTACTAGTATTTACTTGGGGAACAAATGGGCTGTGCTGACTGAGCAGTGATTGTTTCTAAGAATAAATATTCTTTTTGATTCAAGAGATTCACTTTAAAAATACCTGTCAAGTGCCGGGCGCGGTGGCTCACGCCTGTAATCCTAGCACTCTGGGAGGCCGAGGCGGGCGGATTGCTCAAGGTCAGGAGTTCAAAACCAGCCTGAGCGAGACCCCGTCTCTACCATAAAAATAGAAAGAAATTAATTGGCCAACTAATATATATAATATAAAATTCAGCCGGGCATGGTGGCTCGTGCCTGTAGTCCCAGCTACTCGGGAGGCTGAGGCAGGAGGATCGCTTGAGCCCGGGAGTTTGAGGTTGCTGTGAGCTAGGTTGACACCACGGCACTCACTCTAGCCTAGGCAGGAAAGAGAGACTCTGTCTCAAAAAAAAAAAAAAATACCTGTCAAGTAAAAGTTGTGTTTAAGTTTCTAAGGGATTCTTCTCCTGGATTATATACCTTTGTCAATGCTAATTCTGTAACTTTTCCCTTTTCTAAGCAGAATTTCCCCAAACTATGGGTATATTATATTCTGTAGAACCTTAACTTGATTCCAATAGTATTAAGCCATTTAGTACTTCTGTGAACTTAAAAAAATTTGTGATTGCTACATAGATATAGCAATTATTTTATATTCATGGGTACTTAGTTTTTTAATCATTTGTCTGGTTTTTTTTTTTTTTTGAGACAGTCTTGCTTGTTGACCAGGCTAGAGTGAGTGCCGTGGTGTCAGCCTAGCTCACAGCAACCTCAAACTCCTGGGCTCAAGCAATCCTGCTGCCTCAGCCTCCCGAGTAGCTGGGACTACAGGCATGTGCCACCATGCCTGGCTAATTTTCTATATATATTAGTTGGCCAATTAATTTCTTTCTATTTATAGTAGAGACAGGGTCTTGCTCTTGCTCAGGCTGGTTTCAAACTCCTGACCTCGAGCAGTCCACCTGTCTCAGCCTCCCAGAGAGCTAGGATTACAGGCGTGAGCCACCGCGCCCGGCTATTTGTCTGGTTTTGACAGTTAAAAATAAACACCTTATACCCATACTATGAAATACTATTCAGCAGTAAAAAGAAATACAATATTAATACACATGACAGCATGTGTACATCTCAAATCATGCTAAACAGTAGAAGCCAAACACAAAAGACTATGTACTGTATGATTCCATTTATTTGAAATTGTAGAAAAGGCAAAACTATAGGGACAGATCAATCATTGCCTGGATGGGAGTCAGGCAGGTAGAAGGAATTAACTGCAGGGGGGCACAAGGAAACGTTTTAGAGAAAGGGCACCATTCTATATCTTGATTATGATGTGGTTACACAATTCTATGCAATTATCGAAATTTATCAAACTGTACACTGAAAATTTTATCATGTGTAAACAATACCTTAATAAATATTTACATAAAAATTAAAATAAATACCTTTATTTCTTTCCCCCAAGGAATAATTTTTATATTTAAATTATAGTAAAACAAAACCTAATTTCTAGGTATACTTTTTTAAAAATACACATTCCCACATATACAAACTTTAGACCTATGAAACGTTCATTCACCATAGATTAAGGGATTATTATAAGTTCTAGTACATGTATTCACCATTAAATGTTGACTGTGTACCTACTGTAGACAAGATAAAAAGGATTCTGCAATGAACTCAATAGAAAAATCTCCTGTTTTCATGGAGAATGCAAGTCTAGTGAAGAAGATAAACATTAAATTATCACACAGACAACTATATGATTATAATGTGGCAGTTACTTTGAAGGAAAATGACATATGACAAAAGCATCATGGAGGGAACTTTCTCATTTACCTATAAAATAATTCTTGGTGCTATTATTAAAGACAAAGTACAAAGTTTGGAATGGGCCATTAGTCTGATTTCGTAGCTTTTCACCCATGCTCTAGCCACTCTTTATCCCTGCTTTTATATTTACTTCTTTTCTAAATGTTCATAAAAATGAAAACTTTGTTTTTGGTGGTATTTAGTCAATGGATATTTATGAAGCACTTCTCATATGCTTAAAATAGTAGGGGAATCTGTAAGTATAAGATATGGTCCACATTATAAAGAACTTTAGAGAAGTATGCATACAATATATGGAAACCTGGCTTTGATGATGGATTTAATTTATATGTGTGGAGGAAGAAAAAGTGTACATTTGATGTGCTTATGTGTATTATGATATTTAATTTTTCTTTTTTCCTGTAACCATTTCTATTCCTGCTTCTTTGTTGTCACAATCTCCCAATTTTTGTTTTTTACCCACATTTGTTTTATTATTTTATTTATTTTTTTATTTTTTTCGAGACAGAGTCTCGCTTTGTTGCCAAGGCTAGAGTGAGTGCCATGGCGTCAGCCGAGCTCATAGCAACCTCAAACTCCTGGGGAGCTCAAGCAATCCTGCTGCCTCAGCCTCCCAAGTAGCTGGGACTACAGGCATGCGCCACCATGCCTGGCTGATTTTTTTCTATATATATTAGTTGGCCAATTAATTTCTTTCTATTTATAGTAGAGACGGGGTCTTGCTCTTGCTCAGGCTGGTTTTGAACTCCTTACCTCAAGCAATCTGCCCGCCTCGGCCTCCCAGAGTGCTACCCACATTTGTTTTAGAACTTTGCTTTTTTATTTCTTCACTTAGTACCAAAAATCATGTTTATATAAATTATTCCCTAGTTTGCATTTCTAGCTCTCTGATTCTTCTCTTGAGCTCTGGAGCCACGTTTCCTGATGCCCCAGAGCACCTCAAGTATTTTAAGTATAATGTGGTTTTCATCTTTTCAGTTACTTAGACTGGAAATTTTTAAGTAGTTTTAGTTTTTCCATCTTTCTTATCTATACCTCCAAGTAGTTGTCGATCCCTGTTCATTCTGCATCAGAAATGTTTATTTTAGTAGGGTATATAGTAAAAAACAATTTGATTAACATAGTTTCTTGCCTTCTGAAAGAATATAGAACGATATTTTCCAGTGTTAAAAAGAAAGGCAAACCTTCTGAGACAAAATGAAGTGCAGAGGAAACCAGTTGCAGTTCTCAAGAGACCTAACCAGTTAAACAGAAAGTAAGTACTCAAATATAAGTCAATAATGTGTATTGTTCATAAATAAACACTTCTTGCACTAGGTGTTCCATTGAATGGATTTGCAATGTTTCTTCTAGTTATCTGGTCATTTTCAAGATAGATTTTAGGATATCTATTTGAACATTCAACATAGAAGCATTCAGTAATAGCTTTCATATTTTTTAGAGGTAGTGTTATTGATGGATTTAACTAGTATAAACTATTTTAAAGCATCACCCTATGTCTTTGACATATAGAGCAAAATTGTAAAAGATGATCATTTTGGTAAAAATTTTTATTTTTGTGGTTTTGCTTGTTTAATTTGAGGTGGGGTCTTGCTATATCACCCCAAGCTGGTCTTGAATTCCTGGTCTCAGGCAGTCCTCACACCTCAGCCTCCTTAGTAGCTGGGACTATAGGGATGCACCACTATCTGTGTGTGGCTTATTTTGGTAAAAATCTTAACACCTTGGTCAGAATTATTCAAAATTGGGAATTCTGAAAGCTGAATTTGTTACTCAGTCTGGATGGCTCTTAGTAGAACACTCAATCACAGTGTATGTTATTTGTGGAAAAAGCAAACTAGAAAGAAAGAATTCTCCATGAATGCATCTTAAGCTAAAATTATTCTTATATTAAATTGAAAGTAATAGTAAAAACCTAAAAATTATGACCTGTAGGCTGGGCATTGTGGCATGTGCCTGTAGTCCCAGCTATTCAGGAGCCTGACGCAGGAGGAATGCTTGAGCCCAGGAGTTGAAGGCTGCATTGAGCTATGATGATGCCACTGCACATCTGGATGACAGAGCTGAGATGCTATCTCAAAAAAAAAAATCATGACTTATTGTTGTTAAGGCATTTTGTTCTTTGTAAGGATAAAGTAGACAAAGGAAGCTCACAAGTCACAAGTTGTGAAGTTTGCTTATTTGGTTTTAAGTGCCATTTATTCTTATCTTGTAGAATATAATTCATAAACAAAACCTGAGATGAGGTTTTTTAATAAATGGAATGGCTAGAATTTCAGTTTAACGTTAACCATTATCTTTTGAGAATCATTTGGTTGTAAGTGTTGTGAAAAGGGACCTTCTCAAATAAAAAACCTGTCATTTACATGTTAATTGGGCTAGCTAGGGAAATTTTGCATTTGAACCTTTAAGGTTGGAGGTAAGATTGGGGGTTGTTAAGCATTTTTTTAATATAATTGATAAATATGAAATTTTGTTTCTTATATTTCACCAACTTCCTATAGAAAACAGAAAGGAATTGGTGAAAGTCAAGTCAAACATAATTTATTAAGAGTACAGTGGAGGCTGGTCTTGGTCTGTAACCCAGTACTTTGGGAGGCCGAGGCAGGAGGATTGCTTGAGGCCAGTTCTTTGAGATCAGTCTGGACAATGTAGCAAGACCCTGCTTCTACAACAAAATATTGCAGTGGAGCCGGGTGCAGTGGCTTTTCCCTGTAATCCCAGCAATTTAGGAGGATGAGGCAGGAGGGTCACTTAGGCCAGGAGTTTGAGACCAGCCTGGGCAACAGAGTGAGACCCTGTCTCTAAAAAAAATAAAAGAAAAAAACATTAGTTAGGCATGGTGGCACATGCCTGTAGTGTCAGCTACTCAGCAAGTTAAGGCAGAAGGATCCCTTGAGCCTAAGAATTTGAGACTGCAGTGAGCTATATGATCATGCTACTGCATTTCAGCCTGGATGACAGAGTGAAACCCTCTCTTAAAAAAAAAGAAAGTGCATCCTCTGCATGAAACAAGGAGTAGAAAAGTATTTTTCTGTCTTTTATATTACTATGTGAAGATGTCTGAGAAAGGAAGAGAAAGCTGGAGGGTATGTTATTTTTCAAGCCTTTCTCTTTATTTTTGCTTTTCAGTTTTGCTGTGATGTGCCTAGGCGTGGTTTTTCTTTGTACTAATCCCATAAATAAATCTGTAAACTTATGTTTTCACCAAATTTAGGAAATAACACTAAAAGTGTGATTTTTAATGTCTTCACAAGACATGTTATGTGTGGGGCATTAGAAAGTTAAACTTTTGGAAGATAGATTACTTCAGAATTAACCAGGTTGTTATATGATATGCTGCAGAGGGAGATATTTGCAGATCAAATCTCAATAGCATCATGTAAGTAAGGAAATAATTCAGAGTTGTTGTGTTATGTGCACTTCAAGCCTTTGGCCTATGAATTTAACTATTTTGGCTTATTTTTTCTTAAAGTATTTGAAAGTAGCTAAGTGGCTCAGATTATTCATGTTATATGTTTTTGTTGCAGAAATAACGTTCCAGCTAATTTTACCAGGAATGGAAATAAATTAAGCCATCAGAAAGATACGCGTCAGGCAACTTTTCTTTTCAGAAGAGGCCTGAAGGTATTCCAAAAAACCTTGGTGGTGTTTTCTTTTTATTCAGAGAGGATCCTAAGCAGCCATCTTTAGTAATCATCAATCATAGACAGGATCGGGTATGGGGTGTAAAGAACATGACGTTTGATTAATTCTTTGTATTATATTTTTTCTGTATACTATCTTTTGTTGCCTCCATAACAGTGTCTTATAAGAATTTAACATGTTATTTAGGAATAAACTTGTATTTGCCACTTATTTTAATACAGGAACTCCAACCAAGAGATTTTGCTAGAATAGCACAGGCCTCTGTGTTGCATTCATCCACAGGCCACACTGGGTTATAAAGTTACAGAGCAGGATAGCTCTTTGGATTCAAATCCTCTGCTTTCTGTGGGATCTACTGCTGTTTTTTTCCCTTCAGGTTCAGGCCCAGTTGAACACAGAACAACTGCTAGACGATGTAGTAGCAAAGAGAACTCGTCAGTAAGTTTCAATTTGTTTTTCCAGGTGTATTTCAAAACTCCCAGAATACTAACTGCCCAAATTACCATGTGCCCCAGTCCAAAAGAAATCAAATGAGACCCAAAATAAAATTAAGCCTGAAAGTCGGGCACAGTGGCGCACGTCTGTAGTCCCAGCTGCTCAAGAGGCTGAGGAGGAAACACTGAGGCTTGAGCCCAGGAGTTGGAGGCGGTAGTGTGCAATGATAGTACCTGTGAATAGGTACTGCATTCCAGCCTGGGCAACATAGCAAGACCATGTCTCTAAACAGAAAAGCAATTGAGCCTGAAATAAATTCTATTTTGTTTTTTATTGTTTTTCTCCAAAAAACCTTTTGAGTTTTCACATGTCAATATTGTAACAGTTTTAACACCAAGTAATTTACTCTATTTTTTAAATTGCCATGTTAATGAAACAGGTTTTTGGTTTTTTCTTTTTTTTCTTTTTTTTTTTTTGGCTATAACCACGTTTATACAAATGTACCTATTTAGAGACTGAATGGAAGAAAATCCAGTAGAACTTTTGGAAAATTTGTAAAACTTTAAAAACAATAGAATGCTTTTCCTTTTCACATAATATTTTTTTCCTTTACTCCTATAAAAAGTCTTAAAAATCTGTTTTTATTGGTTAATAATTGCACTTCCCAGGTGTGAGTTGTGACATTCTAATTCTATCAATGTGATGAGGTTTTGAGATTAAACTATTTAAAATTTTGGCTACTTTTTGGAAACAAATATATACAATTGGCCCTCGGTCTCCAAGGGGGAGGGGAGGTTGGTTCCAAGACCAGCAGAGATAAATACAATCTTTGGATGCTCAAGTCCCTTATAGTCAACCCTCTGAGGTTGGTTAACTCCACTGATACAGAACCTGCAGATATGGAGGGCTGATTATAAAACATGGTCATGGTCCAGGTATGATACCAACTATCATGGGGCATGATTTTGAACAATTGGAATGTAAGAAAGGAAACTATTTGAACCTGATGCTGGCACTATTCTTTAGCACAAGGGTCATGACATTAGAAACTATAAGGAAGGAAATAATAATCATAGCCAACTTGCTTCTGCAATGAACACTACTTAATTATGACAACATAAATATTTGTTTTGAACTTTGAGAATCAACCTATAGGCCAAGCACAAAATAGTTAATTTCAGCACAGAATATAAATATCAGATTTTGACTAATGTAAACATAGAGTTGACAAAAAGTGGGAAGTACAAAGTGAGAAAAGAGGAGAAAGGACAGAATAGATGTATTGTTTTCCTCTCGTACAAAGTTGGGAGGGGGGTCAAGAGACACTACTGAAAGAAATAGAGATTTAAGTAAAGATACAATGGAAGTAAAGTAGTGGTATAGCCATAAAAATGTTTAGAGGTAGGTAGGGGAACTGGAGGATAGTGTGATGAGCTAAATCTTTATACACTGCAGCAAGATTTTACTACATAAGCATCTTGTTTAGTGAACTGGAAATAACCAGCAAGCAATACAAATATGAAAAGTTAAAAATGCTGCCTCTGGAGAGCAGGAATAGAAAGGAGGAGAATAGTGGGGTGAAGGACTGTTGCTTTTCATTAGAAGCCCTTTGGTACTATTTGATTTTTTTAAAAAAGTATATATATTTATTACACTGAAAAATATTTAATAAATAACGTCAAGTGCCCAGGTCCTACACACAAGATGCTGATTCATTATATCCTGATGGGGTTTAGGTATCTGTTTCTTAAAAGCTAAGAAAAAGTAATGGCTACTTTTAAATAGTGTGGAATATATTAATACATAGAATTTATAAACTTCCACTTTAATGAAATTTTTGGGTTTTTTTGAAACTAGATGGCGAACTTCTACCACAAATGGAGGAATTTTGACTGTATCCATTGACAATCCTGGAGCAGTACAGTGCCCAGTGTAAGTCTGTTCTTTTTATTTGCAAAAATTATAACCCCTCAATAATACAAGATAATAGAAAGGTATTGGACTTCTGTTTAGAGTATAATGTACAAGTTAGGATAAACGGGGATACGAGGATAAAAGTAATACTTGTGATACAAAATTGGAATAATATGGTGTAAAGTTAAAAGTGAAAGCTCAGCTGGCCATGATGTTAGCTCATGCCTGTAATCCTAGGACTTTGGGGAGGCCAAGGTGAGAGGATCGTTTAAGCCCAGGAGTTTGAGGTTGCAATGAATTATAATGACACCATTACACTGTAGCCTGGGCAACAGAGCAGGGGAAGGGAGGCAGGGAGGGAGGGAAGGAGGGCCCCTGTGATTTCTGGTTCTGTAGCCCCAAATAGCCAGTTTTTAAAAATGTTTTTATTAAAAAAATTCTGTGCGTTTATAACAATATGTAGTTTTATGAGTGTATATCATACCTATCTTCTCTGCCACCCCCAGTAATATGTTGAATGTCATTACTTTTCAGACCATACAGACCTACCTTCTCTTTAAAGTCTTCATAGTGTATTCTTTTATCTAGATGAGCTTAATTTAATTAACCCTTTCATTATTTTTCTTACATTATAAACTTTATAGATTTATGGAGTTTATGATCTAGTCAGCCATTTTAATGATTTAAATGAAAAGAATGTAGGATGGGTGTCTAAGACTTCAGAATTTGCTTAATTTTAGATCAAGACTTGGAAATCACTAGCCATTCCAAATTGTTGAAAAGTTTGTAGTTCTACTTAGAGGTATCCTGTGAACAATTATATATTTTAGTCTCTAGAGTAGTCAGTCAAGAGTCAGGTACTTATTTTTTGAAAACAAAAAATAGCCCTAATACATGTGTACAAGTCAGGATTCTTAAGTACCAAATAATTTATTTTTCTTCTTTTGATTGTTAAGCTGCTCTGATATTTTAGTATTTCTCTAACAGAACTCAGAAGCCACGATTAACTCGTACTGCTGTACCTTCGTTCTTAACAAAACGGGAGCAGTCTGATGTAAAGAAAGTTCCTAAAGGTGTTCCCCTACAATTTGACATAAATAGTGTTGGAAAACAGGTAAAAAAAAAAGTTTTCTGTATTTCTTTGAGTTATTCACTGGGAATATTTTAATTAACAAAATTATTGCTGTATAGTGAATTAAACAGGGTGTCCTAAACCTCTCCAAACCCAGGCAACCATTAATATACTTTCATCTCTATAGATTTGCCTGTTTGACATTTCATATAAATTGGCTCATACAATATGTGATCTTTGTGACTGGCTGCTTTCACTTAGCATAATGTTTTCAAGGTTCATCCATATTGTATCAATATTTCATTTCTTTTTATTCCTGAATAATGTTCATCATATGTATATGCCACATTTTATTCATTCATCAGTTGATGGACATCTGAGTTGTTTTCACTCTTTGACTATTATGAATAATATTGCTCTGAACATTTGTGTACAAGGTTTTATGTAAGCATATGTTTTCATTTCTCCTTGGTAAATACCTATGGAGTAGAATTGCTAGGTCATATGGTAACTATATTTAATCTTTTGAGGAAACTGCCAGACTGTTTTCCAGGGAAGTGGCTGTGCCACTTCACATCTGTGAGGATTCTAAATTTCTCAACATCCTTTCCAACACATTATCTGTTGTTTGACTGTAGTTATCCAATTGTGAAATGGTATCTCACTACCAGTGGTTTTGACAGTTTTTATATTTACCACATATCCTGTGATTTTTTGTAGTGAATTTGTTGATTCCTTAGGATTTTCTGTTTAAACAATCATGTTACTCCTCCAATTCCTTTCCAATCTTTCTTTTTCTTGCTTTATTATAATGGCTAGGATCCCCAGTACAATGTTGAATAAAAGTGGTGATGTGTGTGCTTATATGCATGCCTTGTTCTAAAGCCTGAGGAGAAAGCATTAAATGCTTTACCAGTTACTATGATGTTAGCCATAGGTATTTCATAGATGCCCTTTGTCAGATGAGGGAGCTCCCTTCTCGTGATTTGCTAAGAATTTTTATCATGAATGGGTATTGCATTTTCTAATGCTTTTTTGGTATCCATTGAAATAAGAATCTGGAATTGAAGATAAAAAGTATGCATAGAAATTTGATCAAATTTATTTTGCTTATTTTCATTTTGTCACTGTTGTTACTTTTTCTTTTTTTCAGAAATGAAGTATAGTTTGGGAGCACTTTCTGTTAATCAAAAAACAGATTTTCATTTGAATTTTAATTTCTTTGGTGAACTCACAGAAATTCAAGAAAATTTGTTTCAAAATATTCATAAGTTGAAACACTTTTCCTCTTATCAGAGATATCACTAGAGTTGGTGGCAGTACTTGCAGAGCCTGAATATAATTCAGATAGAGGCATCTTTAGGTTTATGAGTTTTGTATAGTATATAATGTAGGCTTTATAGTGGTTAGGAGAGAGATTCTGAGTCAGATTGCCCAGTTTAAATTCTGGAACTGCTATTAGGCAAGTTAACTAACTTCTCTAAGCCTAACTTCACATTTCATGTGGTTTTTGTCAGGATTAAATAAGGTCATAAACATAAATATTTAGGAAGTATTAGCTCCTGTTACTATTAATTACTGTTTACGTTATTGATCTAATGCAAATGTGGCTTTTAGTTAAATTGTTAATGTTTTTTTTTCCTTTTCTTTAGACAGGGATGACTTTGAATGAGCGGTTTGGGATCCTGAAGGAACAAAGAGCCACTTTAACGTTCAACAAAGGAGGAAGCCGCTTTGTAACTGTGGGATAGATCCCATATCAAAGAGACTTTTAAGTGATGACTCTATTTGAAAAGTTAAATTGCTTGAAGAGTTCATCACAGAAATTCAAGAAACTTTACTTCAAAATATTCACAAGGCTAAATAACTCTTATTTTTATTTTTGAAGTTTTTTTAAAAAACATATGTAAAATAATGCCCTGAAAGAATAACAGGGATTGTATCTATCTGTTCTTAAAGATTTCATGGTTGGCCCAGACAGAACAATTCTCTATTTGACATCTTTGGTTCCTCACGCAGCAGAAGGAAGACAGAAAGATAGAAATTGATTATTTTTATGATAGTGGTATTTAGGATCTTACCACCTTTGTCCATTTTTTAGATTTTGCTGTGGTAAATCTTGGTCTTCGGAAATATGAGTAGGTCTCTTTGTTGCTGTCACTTATCCTTTAATAGTGTTGATGTAATAAGTGCAGTTGCCTTTTCTTCATTTGAGATATAAAAAATTTATGTAAATTTTAGTTTGGGTTTTAAGATGTATGGAAATATCTGGAACTTGGTTCATTTTTCAGGTAGTGTTAGGCTAATCCCCCAGAGTTATATCTTTAGTGCTGAACTTTTAACAAAAAATACGGCTCTAGACATTATTCTCAGTTTAAAATGTTGGTGTTTGAAGGCTGTAAATGCATATTTACAAAGAAATCTGGTAGGGTCTTGGAAGAGAAGGTCTAATTTAAAAATCTGACAGTTTGTGTTTAGTAAATGAAGAAAGCATGAGAGGAAGTGGCAAGTTGAAGGACAGGTAACTGAGATGAAAAGTTTCAAAACCCAGGTCATAGGTATACTGTTTGGATTTAGTGTAGTCTTGAGTCTCTTGTCCATAAAGAATTTTTCAAGTGATATTTAGAAAAATTATAATAATTAAAATGATTGAGTCCCTTAGATATTTTGATAGTAAAATTGATAGCCATAAAGTTCTAGACTTCTTATTTAAAAAGTATAAATTTGTAAGCTTTTAAGCTTGCTAAATTAAATAATTTACAGATCCAAAAACAAAAATATGCTTGTATGTGTCACAAAGTAAAAAATGCAGTTACATTGTAACTCTCTTATGTACCTCTCACTCTGATTATTTATGTGGTGTAAAGTTCAGGCATTTATGGGAAGACAAGGATTTTTCCTCCCTCTCTGGAGGCTTGGAAAGAGTTAATCTGTTGTGCCAAGATAGTGCTAAGAGTACTCAGATAGTTGTATACTATAAATTACAATATAATGCCAAAATGCAGCAAAATATTTCAGCTATAAGTTATAAGTTTGGTCATTTTGTAGCTTGACTTTTTGGTTTGCTATAATGTTAAGACCTCTAATGGGTCTTAGTTTCTCTGAAGTATACTATTATTGTTGACTTTTCCTGTAAAACAAAGCATTAAGTTATCTTTCCTGCCTGCCTTGCATTGTATACTAGACTTCATTGTTGTCTCTCATGCTTCTTGGGTTACTTATTGATTTATGTTACCCATGGAAAACTATCAATAACAGTTTCATGCTTATACCAAAGAATTAAATCTGGTCCTTAATATCTGATATTTTGCCAGTACTTATACTGATAAGGGATTATTGGAAGCCAGTCACAGAATTTGAAAATAAACAGTCTCTCTTTAGCTATTTGATGCTTTTCATAGAGGCCAAGAACTTACTGCAAAACATTTTTGCAAGTATGAATGCTTATATTTGGTCCAGGAACAATACATTTTATGCTGGTTTAGAATTACCGATAGTTTATTTTAAGGAAAAGGAAAAGCAACTGAGCATGAATTCGCTGTCTTTAGAACAGTTTATGAAAATATGGTATAAAGGTGTTTTTATTTTCCTGTTATTTTAAATATTGTACAGAGCTATTAGTAATGCCATTTTTTGGAAAACCTTAAAAATTGCCCCAAATGTTGACATTTAAGTGAATCAAATAACAAAGTGTCTTTGGTATATTAAACTGTTGCTCTTCATGCATTTGTAATTTAATTTTCAAGTATAAAATTTTGCCTTTGGTATAACTAAATTAAAACTCTTGAGTAATAACATGATGTATATAAACAAAACAATATGCTTTGTTGGAGGAAAATTTCCTTTCTTGGAATGTGATTATAGTCATCCTTGTTCAGTTATTAAAGTTTTTGTTTTTGTTTTCATTTTAAACAGGATGCAACTTAAAATTTCCTTTGCATCAAGGTGTATGCAAAACATTGATGCAGTGCATCATAAAATGAAAGTTTGTATTTAATGAGGAGGTGCTTTACACTGTACTTTTGGTGTTTTTTTTGAAAAGTTACATTTAGATCTATTCTGAAGCTGTTCATTTTTAACAAATAAAATGTTACAGGTTTCACATGATTTATTCTTAGCTATAAAGATTGAGTTGTGGTTTTTAGATTGTTCAGTGTTACAAAGAACTTTGTAGTGATTATTTATATTTGTATTTTAGGGTTTGAAAAGCTACCTAGTAGCTAAATTGATAAATCAATCAAGACTCTCCTATTAGCATCCCTCTAACTGCCTTTTGATGATTTTATTCATAACTCCAACAAGTGGTACCCAGGAACAATTAAAAAAGAGAATCTAATTTACTTACACTGTGGAATATTAGGTTAGATGAGGCTTTAGAGATCATACAGTTTAAACCTTCTTTTTATATCTTAGTAAAGTGAGTCCCAACATTTTCAAGTCGTGTTACAGTCATTTTTTGAGCTCAGATCTAATTCTCAGTTGATAATAAACTGCTTCTCTGAATTGAACACCCACAGAAGTAGTGGAATGGTGTGTGGTTTGTCAGCTATCTAAGATTTGGTAATAGTTATGTTTTGGCATTTGTAGCATGTGGTAAGTAAATTTATGGTACCAGTGATGATTGTGATACTTCATTGCTTTGGTATTTCAAGTTAGGTAGACCTATTGGAAAGAACCGGTGTTCCTAATCAGCTGTGTATTTTATTTAACCACTTCGGTACGAGCGTCGACAATAGTCGATAGTCACAGATGAACGTGCATGTCGCCTTTAGCCGACAGCCATGATATGAAGGTGCACAGCTGAGCGTCGACTTTAGCCGACGGCCGTGATGTGACTTTTCTAATTTTTCATTTATCAAAATAAAATTGTGAACATTTAAAAATAATGTAATAAAAACATATATGTATGTGTTACCTATTCTGATTTACATTACAAGTACAGCTGCCTGTAAAGTAAAACAAGCTTTCAGTGCTTTAAAGCTTTCCTCATTACACAAGAGCAAAATGGATTCATCGTCAATGCACAGCACAAACTATGGTACAGACTATGAGTGCTGGCTGTGGGCAAGGTTTCTCAGCCAGTGAGCACCGTACCGAAGTGGTTAACATGCATAAACTTTTCACCGCAATTTCTTTTTTTTTTTGAGACAGAGTCTTGCTTTGTTGCCCAGGCTAGTGTGAGTGCCATGGCATCAGCCTAGCTCACAGGAACCTCAACTCCTGGGCTCAAACAATCCTGCTGCCTGAGCCTCCTGAGTAGCTGGGACTACAGGCATGAGCACCATGTCCGGCTCATTTTTCCTATATATATTAGTTGGCCAATTAATTTCTTTCTATTTATTGTAGAGACAGGGTCTCGCTCTTGCTCAGGCTGGTTTCGAACTCCTGACCTCGAGCAATCCACCCGCCTCGGCCTCCCAGAGTGCTAGGATTGCAGGCGTGAGCCACCGCGCCTGGCCTCACCACAATTTCAATTACAGTTATCCCTTGGTATATTTAGAGTTTTGATTGTAGGACCCCCCACATGTACAAAAATCCAGGTATACTCAATTCCTGCACCCGCATATGAAAAGTTGGCCCTCCATGTACACGAGTTTTGTATTCTATGATCCACGTTTGGTTGAAAGAAAAATCTGTCTGTAAGTGGGCCCACATAGTTCAAACCCCGGTTGTTCAAGGGTCAACCGTGTGAGCCAATCATAAACTAATATGAAGAAACTTACACGCTCCATTGCCCAGCGGCTAATTTTTGTTAGAATAGGTATGAACATCATTTATTCTGCTGTCAATAGCTTTGTAATTTATACAGTATGTACAGTTTCAGGGTAATTTTTGTTCTGATTTATTTTAAAAGGGGATGAGTGAGGAAAAATAATTCACTTGGCACTACAGAGAATGAATACCATACATTTAAAATGCAGGCAGTATTAAAGCAGAAAACGATTCTTCATTTCTGATCGGTATACCTTTCAACTTTCACCAGAATTACATGATTATTTGTTTTATGCTATTATTAAAATATTAAGCTTGTGATTTAAGCTTCCTTTTTCTTTTTCTTTTCTTTTCTTTTTTTTTTGAGACAAGTCTGCTTGTTGCCCAGGCTAGAGTGAGTGCCATGGCATCAGCCTAGCTCACAAACATTCAAATCCTGGGCTCAAGCAATCCTCCTGCCTTAGCCTCCTGAGTAGCTGGGACTACAGGCGTGCGCCACCATGCCCGGCTAATTTTTTCTATCTATATTAGTTGGCCAATTAATTTCTATTTTTATAGTAGAGATGGGGTCTCGCTCTTGCTCAGGTTGGTCTCGAACTCCTGAGCTCAAACGATCTGCCCGCCTCAGTCTCCCAGAGAGCTAGGATTACAGGCATGAGCCACCGCGCCTGGCCTAAGCTTCCTTTTAAAGAGAGTTATTTTTTTGAGATAGGGTCTCACTCTGTTGTCTGGACTAGAGCACAGTGGCGTCATCATAGCTTGCTGCAGCCTTAAACTGGGATCAAGCAATCCTCCTGCCTCAGCCGTCAGAGTAGCTGGCACTTAAGGTGTGACCATGCCCAGCTCATTTTCTATTTGTAGAAACTGGGTCTTGCTACCTTGCTGAACTCCTGGCCTCAAGTGGTCCTCTTTACTTTGGTCTCCCAAAGTGCTAGGATTACAGGTGTGAGCCACCATGGACATCCTTAAAGTTCTTTTTGGATAGATCAATTTGGAGTTAGTCTGTTCTTGAAAATGATATCTCAATAAACCCAGAGCATTTATGACAAGAATTTTGAACTATTGTGGACCATTAATAAGGATTTAAAGATTTGCTTCAAAATTGTAGACTTCTAGGCCGGGCGCGGTGGCTCACGCCTGTAATCCTAGCTCTGGAGGCCGAGGGGCGGATTGCTCAAGTCAGGAGTCAAAACCAGCCTGAGCGAGACCCCGTCTTACCATAAAATAGAAAGAAATTAATTGGACACTAATATATAATATAAACACGCCGGCATGGTGGCTTGAGCCTGTAGTTCCCAGCTACGTGGAGGCTGAGAGGAGGAATCGCTTGAGCCCAGGAGTTGAGGTTGCTGTGAGCTAGGCTGATGCCACGGACTCACTCTAGCCTAGGCAAGAAAGCGAGACTCTGTCTCAAAAAAAATAAAATAAAATAAAAAAAATAAAACAAAATTGTAGACTTCTAATGTCTTTTTTCACACCTGCCATTACAGTTTATTTTCTACGTGAAATCTATAACCAAAAGCTTGATAAGGACAGGCGAGGTGGCTCACGCCTGTAATCCTAGCACTCTGGGAGGCCGAGGCTGGTGGATTGCTCAAGGTCAGGAGTTCGAAACCACCCTGAGCAAGAGCGAGACCCCGTCTCTACTACAAATAGAAACAAATTAATTGGCCAACTAATATATATAGAAAAAAATTAGCCGGGCATGGTGGCGCATGCCTGTAGTCCCAGCTACTCGGAGGTGAGGCGAGGATTGCCTGAGCCAGGAGTTAGTTGAGGTTGCTGTGAGCTAGGTGATGCCATGGCACTCACTCTAGCTGGGCAAAAGCGAGACTCTGTCTCAAAAAAAAAAAAGCTTGATAAAATAAGCATGTGATGCCATTCTGACACTGAAATTACTTGTTCTGAGTATATTCAGATGAGGTGTACCAATGTCTAAAGATTATTAGAAAGCTATTTTCCTATAGTGTATGTAATTAATTTTCTTGTGTAAAGGTGTTTCTTTTGTTTTTTTTTTTTTTTTTGAGACAGAGTCTTACTTGCCCGGGCTAGAGTGCCATGGTGTCAGCCTAACTCACAGCAACCTCAAACTCCTGGGCTCAAGCAATCCTCTTGCCTCAGCCTCCCAAGTAGCTGGGACTACAGGCATGCCCACCATGCCCAGCTAATTTTTTCAATATATTTTTAGTTGTCCAGCGAATTTCTTTCTGTTTTTTTAGTAGAGACAGGGTCTCGCTCTCGCTCTTGCTCAGGCTGGTCTCGAACTCCTGAGCTCAAGTGATCCTCCTGCCTTGGCCTCCCAGAGTGCTAGGTGTATAAAGTTTTTAAAAGTCAAACATTAGTGCTTCTTTTTAAAGGAATAAGAAAGGAAAGGACCAAACATTTATTGAATATATTCAACAAGTCAGTTTCTGTGCTTTACATAGGAATAGAATGGGATTCACCTAGATTTTAATCCTACTGCTTCGAGTTTATAAAAGTGGAGTCTTAAAAGGAGTGATCATAATATGTTTTTAGTGAGTTGAAGGGGTAGGAGGAGAAGTTTAATTCTGCATGATATGAATGGTGGTGAGATGCAAAGCTGGAACGAGCTACTGAGATTTGAGTGAAACTTTTGCCCCTGGTATCAAATGAGTTAACTTTTGGCCTGTAAAATAAACAGGAAGAAATAGGGAAGTTCATTATATCAATTCCTAACACTGAATAGCCCCCACTGCCTAGTTTTTCAGCTTCTGCTCCCAGATCATAGAGCAGTGGCAGGATAAATTACCAATCACTGTAGCCCTTTTGCTTTCAGCCTGTTTGCAATTCTCTCATAGCACTTTTATTCATTACTAGACTCTTTGGTTAACTCCCAGAAAGATTCCATTTCCTAGATCTCATTCTTATAAGATGATGTCATCTACATTACGGAGAAATTTGAGGGAGTAGGGTGAGAATTCTCTCAGTCTACCTTTGTAGTTGAAACCCTAAATCCTTAAGAGGTCTTAAAATTAACTGTTCAATCTATCTTTCTTCCCATCCTTTCTTTACTTAGAACTTGTTCTCACATAATAATATATATAGCATCTTCATTTCCCTCCATATCCACAGGCCTTTCTTTTAGCTTTCAGATACCTACAGACAGGTACCTTCTCTTTAAAAGCTGATTCTTTTTCCTCTCCTATCAACTTTCTTCTGTTAGTAGAACCTATCTTCTATCTCTGCTGATTTCCACTCATCCTCACTATTTTTTAACTAATAATATCCTCAGCCCTAGGAGATGGATAATTATAGAGTTTAATATATTGAAGACCTTAAAATTTAGTCTCATAGACAAACATCAATTTATAAGCTTAGTTGAGAATTAGTATAGTATGTTGTCACTACAATGGGGTGTACATGCAGATAGGGAGAATGAGACATATTGCAGAGACTTTTTCAGAAGAACTTAGTGTTAATGTGGAATGTGATAAGCAATCAACTAAGATGACATAATGGTGCATTTAGAAAGCTACACCTGGCAACTAATTCTATAGCATTGTAGTTATTAATATGGAATATATGAATAGATTCTTAATCATTATAGTTGAAATTTCTCTATAAGATATAAAATGAAGCCCTGTTTTTAAATAGCTTATTTTCTAAGAATAACTAAATGATTTGAGGAATACCAGGATAAAAAAAAACAGTACATGCATTGGATAAATGTTGATAGGGATGACAAATATATCACCTGCCATTGTGACCCATGCTCATAACACACATTGATAATTTATCATGAAACTTGTTGCTGAAGAAACTAGAATGTAGTATTAAGAGTTTATAGAACAACTGTCTGGGCAGCTTTTCTTAATCACTTTGGCACAGAGAGTAAACATTTTTACAAACTCTTGCATTTAGGGGTTCAGGTTTCATTGAACAGTTGTGCCTTGGATGATGGGTAGGATCTCTCCAACCTTATTTTCTTTTGCTCTCTGACATGAACTTTCTATGGGCTTAATGTTCTCCACATGTACCATTATAAATCATATGTGGATGTGTTCATGCTGATCCATCTTCTAGTCTGGAATATTGCTCTCATCTTTCAGCCTGTCCCACTTCATAATCCTTCAGGTTTGATTCAAAACCTCATTCATCCATGATATATTAATAGATTTCTTTTCTCTGAACTCCTAAGGAATCTCTACCACCCTTATTTTGCCCTTTTTTTGTGGTCTCATTCTCTAGCTGAATTTGTCTGAATTCCACAATTGGGTTATAATTCTCTAGGTAAAGGACTCTTGTATTTCCCACAGAACTACTAGTTGATTAATAGTGAAATTACATCATATAGCAGGAATGGCTTCTTCAGTAAAACAGGCAAGAATATCTTAAGACCAGTTGTAATATAAATAAGGTCTAATTGGTTTAAAATGAAGTATTTTCCACTTTTTTTAAATCACTTGAATGGTTTCTATTTTTGTCTATTTCTTTAATCTACCTTTAATTCCCACATTTAGGTTATTATGGTTAGATCATTTTCGCTTGCTCAATTTTGGTTCCACACCGAAATTCAGGCTTTTATACTATTCATCCGGCATTATTCAACAACAATAAAATCTTTCCTCAAGAGCAGATACTATTGAAAATGTTTGTTTTCAGTATGAAGACGAACTATTTTATAAAAGCGTGGAAAAGTCTAAAAATATTTATATAACCCTTTCAATGAGAAATAAATACGGAGTTTGGAGGCAAATTAGCACGTCCCCCCCACCCAACCCTCGCCAGGCGCTAATAGTAAATCCATAAATCTCGATTTAGATCAGCCGATAATACAATGCCAGAAGTTGGGAAACGGTTTTAGGTAGTATTCCAAAGAGTCCCCTCTCACCGCCCAAGTTTCTGGCAGCAACAGTGTTAAGAAGGAATCCTTAATTTAATGCTTAAGCTAATCCTCTACCACTGGGAGAGGAAGGCTGTTTAAAAGATATTTTTGTAGAGGCATTTTAGAAATGCTACTGTGAGCTTAGAGTATGGGGCTGCTCCAGGTTTGAGAGATCAGTTTTAATTTCCCTTGAAAATCTCGATGCGGGCGGGGGCAAGGGCCCGGCTGCACTGAGGGGCACTGCAGCGCTGCCCGTCACGGGACCCGTCCGGGGTCTGTTAGCCCCTTTCCCCGCCCACCCATCAGTTCTGGCCGCGCATGCGCGGCGCTGGCGGAGAGTTGTCGGCTGGGAAATGGCGGCTGCGGGCTTATTAGCTGTTGCAGCGGCAGCGGAGTACTCCGGCCCAGTAGCGTCCGGAGGTAACCTCTCCGGTGTTAACTGCGGCCCAAGCCCTGGGGCAGGCCCTGGTCCTGGCCCAGGCTCGTGGAGCCGCTCTCTCGATCGAGCCCTGGAGGAGGCGGCGGTAACCGGGGTGCTGAGCCTGAGCGGCCGGAAACTGAGGGAGTTTCCCCGGGGAGCGGCCAACCACGACCTGACGGACACCACCCGGGCGGGTGAGCGGGGCGGGCGTGTCCCTGCCGGTGGAGACCCGGGCGCGGGGAGACCGTCCCAGCCGGGGGAGTGGGGAGTTGCGGGGGTAGTTACAGCACCTGGTCCCATAGGCTCTTGCTCCGGCCCTGGGTAACGGGGAGAAGCAGAGCGCCCCAGCCCATCCAGCCCTCTGGGCCTGCGGGCCGAACCCAGATCCTGGGACGAGGCGGCAGCGCTCCAGGAAGGGGACCAGAGGGAATTGATGGGTGGTTTTCTAGTCTCTGCTAGGATATCAGCTTCTCCGTCTGCTGAGATAGACCCTTGTCCCGCCCTGGTTTCTGTAGGCCCTTTCGGGTTTGGGATGCCAAATTGACTGTTAGCTAAAACGTAGCGCACTGTTAACAGAGTAGCAGGGATGTCTCTGGTCGCTGCATTGTCAGGGAAGGATCAATCCTAGGGTTTCTTGGTGTGTGTTTTTGTGGTTGCTTAAATGTGAGCCCGAACGCTGTAACTTCTTTCTCGTCCTCCATCTAGTTGACTTAACAAATAAACGTACTTGTAAAAAACTAGAGCCCACCTTCAGACTCCCACTACTTTTCCTCTCCTCCTGTCCTCCAAAAAAGTTGAGAGGAAGAAAACTACTTTAAAAAGATAGTCAACCATATTTATATTTGCTTTTCCTTTTTAAAAAGTTACTTTGCGTTATACATATTTTTGAACACAGGAAAGAGAATAAGGAATTAGGTGTTTTTTGGTTTTCTTAGTTGTAGGGAACAATGTCTGGTGATTGAGGTGTTCAACATACTGTTTCTCTTGTGTTTAAAGTATAAATTCCTCAGGGATTATATGAAAAAACTGAGTTTTTATCATGTTTTACACAAATACAAAGGAAAAAATCCATTAGACAGGTTTTTTATAATATGATGTAGTCAGATATTTTATTTTCGTATAGTGTTTTTGCAGCCAAAAAATGCAATACTTGGTGTTTTATATTTATTCCCTTTTATTTATTTAACAATCTTAGATTTAAAACTTTTCCTTTGTGCACTCATTAACGATTGGTAAGTATTACATATGATTGACTTATGTTGGAAAAATAAACAGAACTGTTACTTCAAGAAACTGTTCTTTCCAAAGAAATTATTGATATAATTTAAAATGGAAGAAATTAAATGCCTGTTTATTTAATCTCTTTTTGGAAACAGTTTTACAGAATATAATTTGTATTTTTTTAGTAAATGATTTAAATTAAATTTCTTCCTAATGTAAATATGACCAGACACTTGCCTTTTGTATGTGTTCTGATAGACAGCATCTAAAATTGTCATTCGTACCCAAAATGTCCTGATTTTGTTGAGGAGATGGCTATGTGGTATAGTGATTGCACATTGGTGGTGAGTCATTTCGTTATTACTACACAAAGCCTGAAGCTAAAGAACAAGTTGATTACAGGAGTCTATCTACTAGCTCATTATCTTACCTGCTTTTAAGTGTTTCTAGGGGCAGCCTGTTGAGCCTTTAGGAAATATTTTTATTAACTAACAAAACCTAAGGGCATTTATGAAGAATAATACATAATCCCAAAGAAGTTTTTCCTTACTGTGCTCTGAATTTTTAAGTTTGCTATTACCCACACTTTAATAGTTTTTTTTTTTTTAATTTTTTTTGAGACAGAGTCTCACTTTGTTGCCCAGGCTAGAGTGAGTGCCGTGGCGTCAGCCTAGCTCACAGCAACTTCAAACTCCTGGGTTCAAGCACTCCTCCTGCCTCAGCCTCCTGAGTAGTCGGGACTACAGGCATGCACCACCTTGTCCGGCTAATTTTTTCTGTATGTATTAGTTGGCCAATTAATTTCTTCCTATTTATAGTAGAGACGGGGTCTCGCTCTTGCTCAGGCTAGTTTTGAACTCCTCACCTTGAGCAATCCGCCCGCCTCCCAGAAAGCTAGGATTACAGGCATGAGCCACCACACCTGGCCTTAATAGTTTTTATATAAACCAAGTTTTTCGTTGGTTGACATTTTATCTGGTCAAAAGTGTACAAAATAAAAAGATGATAACAAGGTATTTTATAACCCATTAGACTAGATTCACTTGTAACATGTAGAAATATCACTTATATATAAAAAATCTTTGGCAGGCCCTGGTAATTAGTACAAAAACATGGTTCCAATTGTTTTAAACAGATCATTTAATGCTGATGACATCATTTATTGTTTTCTACTTGCTGTTCATTGTGTTAGGTGTTTTTAAAATACATTGCCTTGTTAAATACACACAGCAACTCATGGATTAAACATTATTAGCCCCCCCCTTACATGTAAAGAATCACTCAGAAAAAATCAAATAGCTAGTATTAGTGGTAGAATTTCAGCCTAAGTTCATCTAACTCTGTTTTTCCACTATGCTACACAGCCTCCCCATACACAAATAAGTTTTTTTTTTTTTTTTTTTTTTTTTCGCTTTGTTGTCCAGGCTAGAGTGAGTGCCGTGGCATCAGCCTAGCTCACAGCAACCTCACTCTCCTGGGCTCAAGCGATCCTTCTGCCTCAGCCTCCCAAGTAGCTGGGACTACAGGCATGCGCCACCATGCCCGGCTAATTTTTTATATACATATCAGTTGGCCAATTAATTTATTTCTATTTATAGTAGAGACGGGGTCTCGCTCTTGCTCAGGCTGGTTTTGAACTCCTGACCTTGAGCAATCCGCCCGCCTCGGCCTCCCAGAGAGCTAGGATTACAGGCGTGAGCCACCGCGCCCGGCCTCACAAATAAGTTTTATTATTCTCATTTTTACAGGTATTGGAAACCAAGGTTTAGAGATGTTCAATAATTTGCTCAAAGACCTGTGTCTAAAGGACAGAAGAGGGAGTATTAGCTAGGATTTTAACCTAGTTGAGATAACTTGGTAAAACCTGTAGCCTTTTATAGCAGGTACTTAGATTAGTTCAGACCCAGCTTATGGTAGCTAAGATGTTTTGCTTAGACCTTATAGAAAATTAAAGCCTAGTAAAATTATTTGAATGCTAAGTTGCCTCAGACTGTTTTCTCATAATATGTAGAATGTACATGGAAGAGCTATTGTCCGTCAAGAGTTTACATCCTAGGAAACAGCACATATTATTACCCATATTGTTTATAATTAGTCATGATTAGAATTTATCAGGAACGTTTTCTTGAAGTTTTCTGTCCTATTTATTTAAAGACACAGATCTTTAGGAAAAGGGAAATACTTATTTAGGAATGGGTGACTTGATCCAGAGAACAAGGAAAATCTTAGAAGAAATCACAGAAGACTCCTTGGAGCAGAAAGGATATAACTTGCATGTGGGTAGGCAAAAATGAGAAGGAAAACCATTCCTTCCAGGCAGTGATGGACAGCAGGTAAAAAGTTTTAGAGTATAGGGAACATTAGTCAATTTTGCCAGTCCATCATCCATTCTCCTGTTGTCTGATAATAATACCCCAATTTTCCTAGGGAACCACCCCTCTAAATTACATGAATCCCACCCTGACACAGGGTATGCACATGACTCATACCTAGCTAATGGCCAATCATTATAGTCCATTGCTCTGGCTATAGTGATTGTTCAGAGAGATGAGTGCATTTTCCAGTCAGCACATGAGTGTTAACTCTGAATTTTTTGTTTAACTGTTGAGAAGGAAGCATGCTTTGAGCCCTGGGCTTGCTGAGAAAATAGAATGTGAGCCTAGAGCTTACCAATAAATGGAAAACAGAGCCCAAAGGTAGAAAGAGTGAGACCAAGTTCTAATGACAGTGTTTGAACCTTTGGATCAATAGTCATGCCTATAGTTAGTGCTATCTCTGGACTTTAAAATTATGTGAGATGGTAAATTCCTTTTTCTGCTTAAGTTGAATAGACCCTTTTAGAAAAAGGTTCTTGCTCTAATGCCCAGGTTGGAGTTTAGTGGCCAGATCATAGCTTACTGTAACCCTGAATTCCTGGACTCAAGTGATCCTCCTGACTCAACCTCCCCAGCTAATCCGTGTGTGTGTGTGTGTGTGTGTGTGTGTGTGTGTGTGTGTATACACAATGGGATCTTGTATTGCCCAGGTTCATCTTGAACTCCTAGCCTCAAGTGATCCTCCTGCTTTGGCCTCCCAGGGGGCTGGGATTACAGGAGTGAGCCACTGTGTCCAGCTGAGTAGAACTTTTTAATACAAATGAAATGTCCTAACTAGCACAGTGAGACTGCTGTTGATAATGTTGTGGTGAGACCAATTTTGTCAGAATAAATGATTGGAATAGAGATTGTAAGAGCTGCCTTTCACATACAAGGAACCTAATTGCTGATAGGTTTAGAAACAGGTTCAGCATTCATTCAACAGACCTTTATTGACTGAGGGACTTTGGCACTTGTTGGTATGCAAAGACGACCAAGACATTTCCTCCCCTCAAAGAACTCAAGGTAGGCGGGGCACAGTGGCTCATACCTGTAATCCTAGCACTTTGGAGGGCCAGGGTAGGAGGATTACTTGAGGCCAGGAGTTCAGGACCAGCCCAGGCAACACAGCAAGACCTCATCTTCGCAAAAAATAAAAAAATTAGCCAGGTATGGTGGTGTATACCATAGTCCCAGCTACTAAGGAGGCTGAGGCAGGAGAATTCATGAGCCCAGGAGTTTGAGGTTGCAGTGAGCTACAATGATGCCACTGCACACTAGCATGGGCAACAGAGTAGGATTCTGCCTCAAAAAAAAAAAAAAAAAAAAAAAAAAAAAAAAACTCAAGGAATCTAGTGGGGAGATATAGCAAAATTTTTATGTTATAGGCATTATGCAGGTAATGTAGGGGAAATAAAAATGAAAAATGAGGCCTCATAGTATTTCGAAATCTAGGTGGGCACAGTGTCTCACACCTATAATTCCAGTACTTTGGGAGGCAGAGGCAGGAGGATTGCTGGAGGCCAGGAGTGAGAGACCAGCCTGTGTAACATAGCAAGACCCTCATCTCTATAAAAATTTTTTTTTTAAATCTGGTAATCTGGTTGAGTGGCTGCCGT